ACAAACTGGCTGCCTCAGGGGAAGCTGGAGGCAGTTCAAGGCCTTTTGTATTTGCCCTGTGGGCCTTATTTGGCAAAACTGTATAAATCATCGGGACTTTATTTTTATGAGATGCTGCATCCTACCTTCTTCCTCAAAGCCCTTAAGGACCCCAGCAGAGGTTTGGTGAGTCACACACATGCTGATTTTGTGGTTCCCCTGGCCCATATTATTTAAGTAATCTCACATTGCCACAGGCACACAGACATCGTGGAAAAAGAAAAGAATTTGCAGAAATAAATGCTTATGTGCGGAAATGCCAAAGAGAGCAGGTGCCTGGTATTCTTAAAAGACCCACCTATCACTAGACTGCCAAGGTCAGTGGTTGTCAAACTCATTAGTCAACAGAGCCACATATCAACAGTACGATGATTGAAATTTCTCTTGAGAGCCAAATTTTTTAAACGTAAACTATATAGGTAGATACATGGTTATTAACTTAATTAGGGCAGTCCTAAGGCTTAGGAAGAGCCACACTCATAAGGCCAAAGTGCCGCATGTGGCTCGAGAGCCGCAGTTTTCCGACCACGGGTCTAGGTTCTAGGGAAATCATTACTTGTTCCTACCTGTCCATTGAACTCTTTCAGGAGAAAAAGACAGATTTCCAATACTCTAGCTACTTCTAGACACAGACACTTAGAGGTGGATTAACAAAAGAACCAATCACAAAATTGCACTTTTTGTGTCAAGAATTGTGCCACCTTTAGCCTCTCTCACCAACCTATCACAGTCTGAGGTGTGAGATGGGCAGGAGTGAAGCTCTTTCTTTCTTTTTTTAAATAAGTTTTTATTGATTTCAGAGAGGAAGAGAGAGGTAGAGAGATAGAAAGATCAATGATGAGAGAGAACCACTGATCAGCTGCCTCCTGCACCGGGATGCAGGCTTGATCCACGCCGGGGAGTCGGGGAGCCCACAACCCGAGCCTGTGCCCTGACGGGAATTGAACCGCAACCTCCTGGTTCATAGGTTGATGCTCGACTACTGAGCCATGCTGGCGGCTGAAGCCCTGTCTTTGTAATGTAGGTCCTGAGAATAAACCAGAAAGTGGAAAACCACAGTGGGTAAACTCTCGGGTTTACCGCGCGTCACACTTGCCCACGGCCTCTCTTAAGGCAGTTGACTGCATTGGCCTCTTTTGTTTTGGTCTGTGGTAGCCAAGGATCCCCACAGTAAGAGGCAATTAATTCAATTTATAGTCGAATGTTAATTTTGTAAAGCCCTTAGTGGATTATTTGGGTTTAATTTCCCTGAGGATTTAATACATTTCTCTTCCAAATTGTTTCTTTGAAAACTGCTGATGAACTTCCTTTTTTGTGTGTGTGTGTGTGGTCAGTAGATCCAAACTTTTGAGAAATGGGAGAAGCAAGGAGCAGAGGATTTAATACATTTCTCTTCCAAATTGTTTCATTGAAAACTGCTGATGAACTTCCTTTTTTTTTTTTTTTTGTGGTCAGTAGATCCAAACTTTTGCAAAATGGGAGAAGCAAGAAGCAAGTTATGTTGGTCAAGTTCACACTCTGGAAAAAGTAGAAGGAATGGCTTGGGTCTCTTTCAAAATATGTTTGTCTCTAGTTGTTTCGAACCTCAGCAGTTCACCAGTTTTCAGTGCTGCTACTTAGGGTCCTGGCACATCCACCGTTTGTCTATTTCCTCCTCTTTTCTGCCACTTCCCATTCTATAGCTAATGAACCTTATTTCTAATTTTGAGCTATTACAGCCAATAGATAACACTCTTTTGAGCACCTGTCATGTGCCACGAACTGTTCTAAGTACTTTGTGAATTAACTTATCTTTCATACAAATCCCATGAGCAGGGCCTGTTATTATTGTTCCTACACCACAAAGGGAGACTAAGGTGCAGGAGGGTTCACTTTCTCGCCAAGTGGCAAAGTCAGGATTTGAACCCGAGCTGTCTGAGCACTCACTGTGCTAGTTTGCCCAACCAAGTCTGGTCTCTCCTAACCTCTAAATAGCTCTTAATGTGTTCATGTCTCTATTCTTCCTGCCATTACTCACTCACCATTTTCTCCTGACTAGAACTTTTTCCTGGTCCTCTCCAATTCTTCCTCCACAGTGCAATCAGAAGAATTTTAAAACATACAATACAATATATTTGATTTCTTCTTTAATACCTTCCTATGATTTCCCATTTCTCTGACAATCTTTAGAGAGCCCGACTGTCATTTCTTATTTCTTATTTCTCCCGCATTCTCTCCACTCCCTACAAACTCCCTGCTTTATGACCAACTTCTTTCTATTCTTCCAAGTAAGTGGATGTGCTTTCTCATGCCTTCAGACCTCTGTTCATGATTTTCCTGTGGAATATTCGTCCACTTCTTCCACCTTTTCACTGTTTGGGTCTCAGCGGAGGCATCACCTGTCTGAGAAGTCCCTCCTGAGGTCCAGCTCCAATAAATGGCTTTGTTCTTCCCCAGCCACGCCTCCGCTCACTCTCACTTGTCTTGCTTCCTTGTTTCCCCTCCGCTGCTCTGGAAATTATGAAGGCAGGACCCAGCTTGTGCAGATCCCAGTGGCATTTCCACTGGGATCTCAGGACATTTCATTTCTAAATGAATGCATACATTTTTCATTAGTTTTGGAAATCGGAGCTAAAACTGAAGTTGCTTGTTAATTAATTTTCCCAGCTTTGGCTGTCGACCAGAGTTTTCTCTCTGCTGTGACTTATACATTATTGGAGCTTAAGTTTATTGGCTTATCCTGAAATCATAACATGTTAACATCTCAGGCTTTCCAGGCCATAGACCTATATAGGAATAGTCAGCTATAAGCCGGCTGAATGTGAGTTTAGGTTTATTCTGTTATAGTGCAACTTACAACTTATTAGGTTCAATATGTTCTGCTGGTCTTGCCATGTCGAAGGCCCCAGACACCAGGAAGGGTCTGAAAAGAGACTTCACAGCCCCATGGAGGGCTTTCTGACAATGCTTCGGGGTCTCCCACCTGGCACCCTTCATAGGCCTGCGGGCTCCCTTGCTGAGGCGAGAAGGGGCTCTCTGATTGCTTATTATTTTTCCATGCCCACTAGCTGCACCCTAACCTCTGGCAGGCAGTTAGAGCGGGGAACGCATCATTTCCACCAATTGGGAACCGGACTTACTGGAGTTGGGTTTAGGATTTTTTAAGACTCCGCTAAAATATTTAAGATTAGAAGTTTTTTGCCATGGGCTGCAAGTTTTTATTTAAATCTTTATGTAAGGAGACTACTATTTGTAATACCTTAAACAATAAAATAAAAAAAATAAAAAATAAGTAAATAAATCAATCTTTATGTAGATGGGCCAGCTCACTCCACACATTTATCTATGTCCCCTGAGTCCACGTGAGACTTACCAGGGAGGTGGTGAATTTTAATATCCCCAGGAACCTCATTAGAGAACCCTTCTCCTCACCCTCAACCCAGAAGATTACTTCCAGGGTTTTGCCTTTTTACACTGTTTATGTCTTCCTTCCCATCTAAGCATAATCCCATTGTGCTATGCAGAAGAATTTATGGCATTACAGCTTTATTTTGCATTTCATGATTGCAAAGTATTTTGCAGCCATTTGTTAACTAATTTCAGGCCCTCTTTAGAGGGTGGGTGGTGGGATGACTATATAATTCATTTCAGCATTATGTATGCACAGAGAAAGACATACCTTGGCCTCAAAGAAGATCATCATATGCAAATGGCATAAAATTGCTGTTTTAAAAATGAGTGGTGGTGCCTTTGTTTCGAGATTTACGAGTGGCTTGTTATAATGAGCTTGTCACATTTGGATGCAGCGCTGTATTTACTTCTCTGCCTTTTATTATGACAGACGCCAGCACCGGGGCCTTGGAGCTGCCGACGCACGCGAAAGGGCGACAGAGGCTATTCCTCCATGTCCTAAATGCGGTTGGAATTCAATTCTAGTTGAAGTGACTTAAAGAATCAATTTGTACAATACGAGAACAAACATGAAATATTTATAAAAATTAACTCACAGGATTTATTCTAGAAGGTTGTTTAAATGGCAAGGTCGCTACGTCTAAAGGGCATGTGTCAGAACCACATGTCGAACAAACGCAGCAGCGGCGTTAGATCTTGCAAACCGCACGCAGTGGTAACGTTACAGAAAATTTTTACGCGCTTGTGCGAGGCTGTTAAGGAAGCAGCCGCTCTACAGCACAGCTTTCCAATTCCAGCTTTTACGCTTTTTAATGTTCATTTTTATTGACATTTTTTTCCTTGCAGGAAGAATGTGTGATTTTTACTGGCCTGGCAGGAGGTTGTGGTACCTCTTGCCAAAGTGTCAGGTAAACTCGGAATTCTCTACATGAGGGACAAAGACCACATGTTTAGTTAAAACAACACGTAGCTTTTGTACAAATATAGGTAATGGAAACCCAGACTCCTGCTTGGATTTTTTTTCTTTGGCTATTTGCGTTTGATGTTTTAAATATAAGTCAGCAGCCACCTTGTAATGCCAGCCCCAGCGGAATAATTCAGTTTCTTACAAAATGTGCACTTTTTCAATATCTTGTTTTTAATTTTTAAATTTTTGTTTTGTTTTATCCTTGTTCTCGACGGTTCTGCTCTAAAAAGGGGAAAGTGCTCTCCAAATAATAATTTGCTTTAATAAAAAGAACATTTTAAACTGTCAGTAACTGAGCAACGACCTAGCTTAATCCATACGCTTTTCCCTCCAGCCTGACCACACCTTCACTGGGGAGGAAATCTGTGGCTTAAACCTGCACCAACGCGCGTTTGGGGGTGTTAGCAAAGGACAACTCACACAGGAACGAGGGCAGATGGGGAGCTAATAAAAATGAGCATCATCAGTAATTCACCCTGGCTGGTTTGGCTCAGTGGATAGAGTGTTGGCCTGTGGACTGAAGGGTCCCAGGTTTGATTCTGGTTAGGGGCACATGCCCAGGTTGCAGGCTCAATCTCCAGTGGGGAGTGCACAGGAGGAAGCTGTTCAATGATTCTCATCATTGATGTTTCTCTCTCTCTCTCTCTCTTTCTCTCTCTCTCTCTCTCTCTCTCTCCCTCTCCAATCCTCTCTGAAATCAATGAAAAATAAAATAAATGTTAATATAACCCTATTAAATACCTAATGAATTTAATTCTATACTGGGTGTTGTACCCGGTGAGTTTAAGAAATTAGATACTTCCCCTTTGAGAACCTGTAATAAAGAAAATAGACAAAGCTGCTAAAGGTTTTAATGCTCAACCGGGCGTACAATCTTTAGGGACAGTAGCCAATTATAAACAGGCTGGAATGACCCAGAGCAGTTGTATAATGGTAGGCTTTGGCTGATGGGCTCTGGTAGAGCCCTCTCTGTCCATATACCATCCCTCAATTTCTAGGTCAAAAGCAATGGAATCACCCTCCTATGTTTTATCTAAATAATTGATTTTTAGAGAATGAGGAAGGGAGAGTGAGAGAGAGAAACATCGATGTGCGAGTGAAACATCATTCAGCTGCCTCCTGCATACCCCCAACCAGAGATTGAGCCCACAACTAGGGCATGTGCCTTGACTAGGAATCCAACTGGCAACCTTCTGGTGCCACACTGGCCAGGGCTGTTCCCATATTTTTTAGTTTGATTTGTTTGTTTAGAGTTACCACTTCAAAACTTCCCTTAATGTATATCTTCACTGGATCTAACTTGGACAAAAACGCCCAGGGAGAAGGAGCCCCAGAATCCTGGGCTAAGCAGTGCATGTGAAAGATGGGAGAGGAGAGAAAGCACTGTGGCTCTCTTTGGACCTCCCTGTTTCTTGAGCAGTTTCCTATTCTTGTAAATGTTGTGTAGCTCAGGCTTTTATACTGGCACAGCTGCAAAACCAGGCTCTCCTCTATCTGATATATTACTCAGACTCCTTGGTTGCATGTTACTGAAATTTCTAACGTGTTTAAGCAAAATGGGGAATTTATTATGAGGTTACTGGGATGCCTTATGAGTGGGGTAGGGGCCTATAGAACATCTGGAGTCTAGGACTCAGATCACCATTGCGACTCTCCTGGATTCTCATTTCTTCGTTCAGTACATCAGTTTCATTGTCCCTTCCTACTGCTGTGTTGATTTTTCCACTTCTTTATCAATTTGTTAGTACCTTCTGAGTTTACCTCTTCAATTTCAGCCCCTCCCCCTTCAAGAAACTGCTTTATCTCAGATTCAAAATGCCAGGAAGGATTCCGATTAGCCCTGTCTGGACAAGGTGCTCTCTTCTGAACCAGGCACCTGTGGCCAGGAGTGGGTCACATTGCACCAACAGAAAATCCAATTGCAAACCTGTGAAAGAGTTGGGGGTGGGTGGTGCTTCGGGGAAGACAATAAAAAAGGTGTCCAATTCAGCTGCAGAGATACAGAGTAAGGGAGAATCTGGGCTCTTCTCTGCCTGAATCCATTTCCCTGTTCAGAGGGAAAACTACTTCCCAAGCTGATGAAGAACTAAGTTCCGAGTTGCAGCCCAAGGACCACTTAACCATTCTGTGTTGGTGTGGGCATTTCTCTGTTTCTCTCTAAAGATGCTGCAGAGGTCTCTATCCTCGACTGGTGATTCCAGTAGACAGTGCTTTCATCTATGCCATCTGGGTCTTTGTTTTTGCAAGCAGGTGTTCTTGTGTGATATTTTTGTGGCTCATGTGGGGCTTTGGCGGTAAAAACAAAACAAAACAAAACAAATTCTAGATCTTCCTTCCCTAGGGGCAGCTGAGGGCACAATTCCCAGTTATTTCTCTATAAATCCATCAAAAGCAGTGCCAACTGTGAGAGCCTGTAAGATTCCCTTTCTCCCCTGGCAGGTGAGAGCCCTGGCTCAGGTGTTTCTCTTTGGCATTTGGAGGCGCTCCTGTTTCCAGTGTTGTTCTCAGCACCAGATATGAAGTGCTAGCCTGAGAATTTCAAGACCAGGTGGTTTGGTCCCTAAATGGTCCTAACCTCTTTTTTAACTTGGGCCTGTAAAAAAAAAAAGTTTCACATCCTTTGTTTTGCTGTGGTGATACCTACTTGCCCCATGTCTCCCCACTGGGTTTATTAAGGTTGGATGAGTTCTGTGACCTGGACTAGAGTGGTTCATTGGTTTTTGAGCAAGAAAGCTGATTTTTCTATTAAGTTGGCAGATTTGCCATTCTCTATCTGACACTTGGATAGACTTCTCTTGGGAACACTCCAAAATTTCCCCCATTATATAATGTACTGTGTGGAGATCAGTAAGGACTGTTTATTTTGGAGGTAGTGAAAATAAGACTTGTGAATACTTCCAAATATAAGCATATATTCTTTTGGTAATTAGCTTCATTGTTCTCTGTCAGTTTTTTTTTGACAGTATTTACACTAAATTAGAAATGGTAATAATGGGACATCCTAGTTCAGTCCTACCAGCGTATCTGTCTACAATAAAAATATTTGCTTTCAGTGACAGAAAGTATTTTAGAAGTGTTCATTAAAACAATTTAGATAACTGTGTATCCATTATTAATAACCCAAGGCAGGGAATTACATATTACGTGACTCATGTAACCAATAAGGAAGCTGCCATTTCCATAATTATAAAGAATTCATATCACATCCATTTTACTATTCTATATCACTTGACCCATTTATGGCTCATTTTGAAAGAAGAAGATTTAAAAATTCATAACGTATTTTAAATGAAAAATCTGCCAAGAAATACCTCCCTTCCACAGTTAGCAGTGGGTGCTCTCATGTAAGAGGCCGGCCGTTTGGTCCCACACCCCTCTCCTCTAACCACACTCTCAGAGGGAGTTCCGGATGCCCTGGGTCCTGCTGACCCTGTTCCTCAGGATAGAGCCCGAGCAGAGGACACACGCTCCCCTCCGGGAAGCCTTCTGAGGGGCCAATTGTGAGGAGGATGGTTGG